GCCCCCCATCCAGGACCGTGTTCGGGGGCACACTGGAGATGAAGTGGGGGCCGCCGGAGGCCTCTGACCCCTCCTGGGCTCCCTCCCTTTTCTGCTCTTTCCCTCCTGACCTCCCCCTGTGGGGGGCTGTCACTCCCAAGGGCCTTAGGCTAGGCTCCCAGGGTTGTCAGCGAATCCCTCCTCCCGCCCCTTTCGAGCTTAAAGGCGTAATTTGCATTTGATTACAGGACCCCTGAACAGTCCTTTGGAGGATTCAAATCCCCAGGGAGTGACTGGGAGGGTGACACTTCAGGGTGGGAGCTGAGAGAGCTTTGAGCCCAGGGCCGGGTAGGGTCCTTCAAAAGCCATCAGATATGCTTCCAGCCAACCGTCCCACCACCTCAGCAGGACAATGCTAATTCTCAGGCTCTGAGTCTGACTTGGAACAGTCCCAGTTTTTGAGCCGCTGTGTCTAGAAGTCACAGAATGTTCGGCCCAGGAACCAACTCAGATTTCTTTGAGCCTAACTCCCCATTTGACCGAGGAGAAGTGACCTGAGCCAGATCACGGGGCCCGGTAGCCACGTGCTCGTTAGCCTATGTCTGCTGCTTCGTCCGTGCCCCGGATACATTTTTACAGAAGGTTCTAGAAGAAGGAAAGAAGGGTCTGATAGGTATTTCTTTGTTACTGAGGGAACCACAATCCTACCGCAGTCCCTGCTGATAGATGCTGAGCTGTTCCTTGGTCATCCCTGGGGAGAGGAAACCTGTTGTCTACGAGAAGGCAGCCTGTGAGAACGTTGGTCAGCTGACTGCTGTCTAGTAACACTGCCACTGCAAGCTGTCCTGCATCTGTTTCACAGGGTGGGGTGGGACCTAGGAGAAGAATTAGGCGGGGGTCTCTGAAGGGGGACATAGGCTGTCCTGCTTCAGGAAAAGAACTAGTGGGACTCAGATGTCTTCTGATGGTGCACCAGGAAGAGACCCTCTCAGCTGTGTTCAGTGGGCCCTGCTCCCTTCCTGTGTATACACTACAGACAGACACGCCCTTCTAGCCTGCAGGTGGTCCGACTACCACATACTTGCATTTGTTTACTTTGCCTCTTGGAAATATGGACACAAGGGCATTTTACTCACTTCAGAGCAAGGGGTCCTTTCCTGGAAGACTGTTAAGGGGCGTGATCCCCACCGACAGTTGTACCGCAGTTATGGGGCCAGGGTGGTAAGTTATTATTCATGGAATCTTTCATGCTAAAGATGCACTGCCATGAAACAACACTGGTTTGGACTAATTCGGGTTACGGTCTAGAGAGCCTCAGGCATCACACATCCCCAGCCAAACAGTCTCATTACTCTCCATCCTGTCGAATAAATCAGAATCACAGCTAAGAAATATCTTCCCTAAGAGAGGTGTGGCCTGCTCTACTCTGAAAAGTAGATGGACCTCGTGTATAAACAGCATTTTGCCTGTTGGACTGTAAATGGTGTTGGAGTGCTTGGAAACAGTTGGTTCTTTTAGTGGATTACCTGTTTCCCCCTGAAAAAATTGTTTCACAGAATTTGCTAAGTGCACTCTTCCTTTGTATGCAGTATGGAATTTTACATCAGCCAGCCCTGATGGGTCAAAACTCTGGAAGCTTTGCTACACCCCAGCCATCAACCCTAGCAGTGATCTGTGTTCTAGAGAGGTGGCGACAAAGGGGGGCTAAGTACAGGCTTTCCGGAGAGATTTGAAAATAACAGTACATTAGCAAAAGAAAGAGTTGCTTCCAGATTTTCAAAAATAGTTAAGGAGAAGGCATTTGCAACCACAAGGTCTGGTCAGTAGAGAACACAGACATGCTAGTGGAGGGTATTGGAAGGAGAGTCGGGGAAGCATGGAGGTGGGAGGAGACAAGAGTTTAAAATTGTTTTCCTTCTATAAAATTCCCATCATCCCCCAGGCAGTCAGTTTTGACAGCATCCCTCACCACCTCCCAAATTTCCTCCGTCCAGAGTCCTGGTAAAGAAAGCACCCCTCGCAGGGCTCCCACCCATTACCCATTCCCGGGCCCCACACGGGGCCTCCCTGTAAGTCTGCTGCCTCGTCTCCACTTCTGCTCCATCCCTTGCACACTGACCCCTGATGGCTGCTCCTACATGTCGCTTCCTTGCTTCCACTATCCCGCCAACAAGTGAGATACTCCACCATGCTCTGGCCCGGCAGTCAGCTCCCCCATGCCCTGGCTCCGGGGGACCCTTCCCTTCGTGTGCCTTGTCCCTCATGTGTATGAGGCCAAAGAAACATATTTACCACCCATGGAGTACTCAGAGCGGGTCTAGCATGTGGTAAGCACTCAGTTGTTACTGTGATTTTATAAGGTCTCCTTTGCTTGGGCTTCACCTCCCCTTCTCCCTCCATCTGGATGGACTCTACCCCATCCCCTGCACGAGAAATGCCCTCCTCTGGTCTCCTGTAACTGTCTGATGTGGGTCACATTCTTATATCTGACTGGCTCACAATATTTACGTCCAGGGTTTCTCTCTCTTTCCAGAATGAAAACACCTCTGGGTCAAGGACTTTCTCTCACACCTATTTATAAGTCCTCAGCACATCGCACAGTGTGCTGTACACAGTAGGAGCTTATGTTAGATGTGACATCCTTACTAATAATGATCACTCTACTTTATTAAGCATTTCCCGTGTGCAAGGTGCTGGGGACTTCTGCTGGGATTAATCTTGATAGCACGCCAATGAGTGTTCCCATTAGTTCTGTTTTACGGAGTAGGAAAGTGAGGTTCAGACGATGTTTACTTGCCTGAAGTCGTAGGTAGTGAATGATAGGGCTGCAATTTGAACCCAGGTTTGTCCACTCTTGAACTCATAAGGGCTCTGTTATACCCTTATGAAGACAGAGACTGTGTCTTTCCCTAAGACAGCGTTGCACATTGGCAACCCGAGGGCCAAATCTGGCCCACAGATGTGTTTTGTTTGGCCCATGCAGTGTTTTTTAAAAATCAGGAAATTTTACATCACCATCTACATCTCTGGCTTTGTCGGAAAATCTGGGCGATCCAGTAACCCTGAATCTCAGCATGGTGATGCTGGGCTGCCGCCAGGAAGCAACTGTCCCTTCCTTTCTCTCCATCCCTCCCAGACATGGTCTGCATCAACTGTCCAGTTCCGTTCTTCTCCCCCAGAGTGTTGGCACTAGGAGTAGGTCAGTTCTTGGTAACACAGGACTGTCTACATATTGTAGACTGTTCAGCAACCCTGGTCCTCACCCAGTAAGTCAGTAGCGCCTTTGGCATTTTGGCACTCAAAAAAACATTCAATCGTTTTGGCACTCGAAATCATTTTGGCACTCAAAAAAACACCCCCCAGACGATTCCAAAGCCTCTGGTAAGGGTGCCACACAATCCCATGTTGAGAACCCCTGGCAGACAACCCCTTGCACCACCAGGGCTGGCACACAGTAGGGCCTCACAGAAATAGATTAAGGAGACTTAGAATGAGATAGCCGTAACCAAATGTTTCCACATGTTAAAAGTTCCCATGAAAACAGAGGCGAAAAATGAAGTAATCAAAGTATTTAAAAAAATAAATTATCTGGAGCAAATTCAGTGCATTCCCCTAAACACCTGTCCCACCGTGGAAAAAAAAAAAAAATTAGTAATAACACATTCCCGTTGAGGCCTTTCCATTCTGCACGCCTCGGTTCCCACTGTAATGTTAATTGGTTATGGTTTTCTTTGCTTCTAGTCCTTACATGTAACAAGAGTTACTGTGCAGCTGTCAACCAGACACCACCCAGGAAAGGCTGCATTTAAAGGGCAAGAAGCAGAACTGAATCACAGGCAGTTTTTCTTCAGAGAAACATTGTTAATAATATTTTTGCCTTTTGTTCTAATTATAAAAATACTGTTGCTTACAGTAGAAATTTCAGAATAAAGTACTAAAAGCAAAAAAATCACTCATAATCTCATCACCTGGAGATAATCAGTTTCTATTTTTGTGTATTTCCTTCCAGTCTTTTTTTCTCCAATGCACATATTTGTGTCTGTTGTTACTAAAAAAAAAAAAAAAAATTTTTTTTAGCTCTTTGAAAAATTGGGCTCTTACTGCTTATAAAGTTTTTCTTGCCATCTCATGGCTGTACCCGTAATCAGTTTAAACAATTCCCTATTGCTGGACAGAGAGCTGCTTCCCAGTTTTTGCTGTTAAAAGCAACACAACAATCAACTTCCTCATTCATAAATTCTTTTGGTTCACTCTGATTGCTTTTATAGAAAGTGTGATGTGCTCACCAGCACAGAAAGACATTATCCCCTCCACTGGGAGATGGTGTTGGCCCTGGATCTAGAAAAGAAGGGTAAAGAGTAGACTGAGGCGTGGAAAGGAATGTTCAGGCAGGGAGAAGCCCACATTGTTGAACTTGCACCTCCTAGTGTGGCCAAAGCCAGGCCATCTGCCGGCAACGAGGGGAGTAGATGTGGGGCTGGGGACTTGGGTTTGGAGCTGTCACTGCAGGAAGCAAACAAGGGCTTTTAACCAAAGGATGAAAACTGTTCGGCAGCACTGAGAGCCCAGCTGAGGTCACACCATGGGATTGAGTAATACAGGCCATTGGCACAGACACGCAACTCCAGTGAGGCTGGGAGACAGAAGCTAGGGTGGGGTGTGGGTAAGGGTGGGGATCGTAGGATTATCTCAGGTCTGGGAAATGGACTGACAGATCAGCCAGAGAGCCTCATGAAGTCTCTTCCCACCCCAATAATAAGTAAAAATAGGCTTTACAACTTAGCAAACAGAACTAAGAAATTATATTTGCCTGTTAAAATGGCTTTACAGACCCAATGTGAGCTGAACAGAGCCCCTGAGTTGCTTTATGGTATAATAATAACAACAGTGAAGAATTTCTACAGAACACCTCAGTTTACAAAGTGCTTTATACACTATAGTAGCACAGTCTCTTGGGGTGAACGTTATTAAGTATACGCCCATTTTACAGAAGGCTCAGAGAGTGTGATTTGTGTAAACAGACAGGTGGCAGCAGTGGAGTTGGGCTCGAGACCAGCATGAAGGACAGAGTGGTGATAAATCATCCATTCTTCTGCCCTTGCGAGACGACTTTTGCTGGAAAACAAATGTATCCTAAGCCTATGACTTTGACCTCCTTAGCAAGATGAGTTAACCAGGTGAGCTATCAGGAAAAGCTAGTTGTCTCCATGTTTAGAGAGTGGACTTAGTATTCTCCCTGCCAAACTGGCCTCCTCCCTGTGCCTTGAACAGACCAGGCGTGTTCCTGCCACAGGATCACACCTTCTCCTCTGCAGGTAGATCCTACACCTGTACTCTTCTCCCCCAGGTGTTGCCGGGGCTCACTCTCTGGCCGCTTCAAGTCTTGCTTAGATATCACCTCAGTGGTGCCTTCCCTGACCAACTTGTTTTAATTGTGCCTCTCCCACCACCAGCTCCCAGCGCTGGTACTTCCTGTCTCCTCCCCAGCTTTATTTTTCTCCATAGCATTGATCACCTTCTAGTATCTTATACATGCTACTCATCTTCTTGTTTATTGTTTGTTTTCTCTACTAGAATGTAAATGTGATGAGGACAGGATTTTTGTCTGTTTTTCTCCCCGATGTTTCCTCAAGTCTAGACCATGCCTGGAACATAGTAGGTGCTCAAAAAGGAATGGTTGAATGAGTAGCAGTAAAGGTATTAGAATAAATAAAGACTTCTTAAGAGCACTAGCATGGTGTCGAGCTCATAAGAGGGAATCCGTATGTGTTAGGTCCCTTTCTCTCCTTCCCTTCTCCTCTGTTAAATGCTATGTGCTCAGCACAGTCATCTCTTAAAATTAAAATATTTCTGGAAGGGATAACACATTAAGCCTTGACATCCAGTCCACGCAGCAGACGTTGCTGGGGGAAACAACCCACAGTGGCCCTCAAGAGAAGTGGATGAGTCGTACCCTAAACCAGTCAGCATCTCCTGGTCCATCTAATGGTGGCCGAGAAGTGTGGTCACAGAGGACGTTTTCAGTGCGGGGGAAACGGGAGACAGGCATAGGGGACCCAGATGGAGTGAGGTCCCCTCTCCTCTGCATGCTGGAATTCCTGGGACGTCTGCTCATCGACCTGTGTAAGGGAGGCAAACGTTTTCCTGGACCCTCTCAGGATCCCTGGCTGGGTATGAAAATTAAACTGCCAAAGGCAGATTAGCAGGAGAGAAGCATACACACTTATTTAATGTCAGTTTTGTGTGACACGAGGGCCTTCATAAGGGAAGGAAGACCCAAGGAAACAGATTTGATATTTTTATGCTGTGTCTGATGAGGAGTGGGCAGTCGTGGAGGAATATGATAGCTTAAGGAACACGAGGTCAGAGGAGCGAACTGGGGAAACTCAGCAAGGCCTGTTAGGATCCTTCTCGGTGTTCCTTTGTCTTCGGAGACAAGATGTACCTCTGGGTATGGGAGGGCACCACTCACGTGAGGGTTTTATGGGCTGTTTCAGGGGAGAAGGGTCAGGGGAACTGTCAGAGTGACCTTCCTGCTTCCACTGTTTTCTCAGACTCTTTCAGCTTAAAATATTTCATATGCTAAGTTGACATATTTGGGGGTAGATTGTCCAGAACCCCATCACCTGCCGTGGGGTTGCAGAGGGTCCCTTCTCTTCCACGGGGGCTCTGCTGAGTTACTCATTTACCCACTCACCCCTTCACCCCGACTTCATTCATTCGGTACATAAGTACCAAACGTCCACATGTGTCTGGAGCCTTCCGGGGCCTGGAGAAGTGGTGCTGAAGGGTGCAGACAAAGGCTCGTGGCTCCCGCTCAGGTACCGGGAACAGACCTCAAACGGGAAAGACCCACCCTTGGGCCTGACTTTCCTATCCTCCTTTTGAGGTCTTCTCCCTCCCAGGGCCTTCCTCAGGCCGCACCGGGAGCCAGTGGCCTCCCAGCCCCCCTCCTGTCCTCACCAGCAGAGCAGCCTGTTCCCTCCCGCGCTGCTCCTGAAAGTCAGGGCCAGATGGAAGGCGGTGGCCCCAGGAGAGCCGGAAAACTGGTCGCGGGGAGAAAAGCAGGCCCAGCCGAAGAAGATGCCTCTAATTCCCGAAGGGGAGGCCCACCTGCCCCGAATGGCGGGGGCCGGGTGAGGGGGACGCCCAGGGGGTGGGCGGGGCGTCTGAGGGGGGAGGTGGCCAGAAAGAGCAAGTGGGACAGTGAGCCGTCAGGGCTGATTCTAGCGTGGGAAACTGGAGGAGAAAACGCCCCAGGAGGCTTGAGGGAAGGTTTGCTCTGAAGTGCATGTCAGAATCCCCTGCATGGCCACCGGGAAGCCCGCCGTGGAGTCCACATCCGAGGGGAGACAACCTTCTCGGGAGGGACAGCCCGTTTGCGCAGGTTTCGGGCCCAGTTTCAGTCTGTCCCCCTCCACAGCCCACCATCCTCATCCCACCATCCTGGGCTCTCAAGACACACCCCCCACTCCCAACCCCTGCCAGAAAGCTTCTGCCCACCTCTCCAGCCCTGTTTCCTGCCCCTGCCTGGTGTTCTCCATGTACCCCGGCCTTCTCACCGTCCCCTGAGGAGCCACGTGCCTCCCTGCCTCCCTCACCCCCCGTTCCAGGCTGTCCTCGGGAGCTCCGGCATCTTCTTCTCCTTCTTCCCATGTTCCCAGACCCTACCTAGTCTTCATGCCTCCGCCAGAGCCTTCTTCAGCTCTTCCCAGAAGCCTTTGCTGGCCACCGGCAAGCATCTTCTGTTCCTCCCCACACACACCCAACCTCTCCTTGGACGTTTCCATAAACCCCCTTGTATGGGGTCGTTATCTTGAAGTTCATGACTGAGCTGTCACGCCGTCTAGATTGTAAACTCCTTAAAGACAAGGACTAGGGATTAAAATTCCTTGTGTCCTGCACAGACTTACTACCATGCCATGGACCTGGAACCCCTTAGATCGTTGTTGATTGAATCCACTTCCCAAGGCCAGCCCAGGGAGAGGCTGACCATGGAAGGGGCTGATGGCGGAGGCAGTCAGCATCCCAAATGTGCCTGCTGCCTTTGGGTCTCGTCCCTAGAAACAGTCCAGTTGCCTTGAAGAATTCATATTGCTGTCAGAGGGGCTGCCCTTCAAAGGGTCCTCATAGCTCTTGTTATATGCAAAGTGGAAAAGGTAAGGGGACTGTTCTCGGCATTTCCTGCCTCTCAATTGAGTGAGGACAGACAGATGATTTACTGGGCATTTCCTAGCCTTTCCTTCACCATAGGAAACCAGTCTGAAAAAAAAAAGGTGCAAATTTTAAAAAGATGTGTGCCTGTTTTGAAGGGGTTGGGGAGAATTCCTGTGTACCATTAAAGTGAAAAGAGAAAACTCTCTAATAGCCCGAACTCTGATCTAGAGGTACATAAATTTCTACCACCCTTTGAGAGCTCAAAGCTCTCAAAAAAGCTGTCCTGGTGCCGGGAGGGTGTGGGACAGGGAGAGAAAGGCTGTGAAGTGTCGTCCTCTCTCATCTCCCCACTTCCAGGTGACCAAAGCTTGGGCTTAGGGTGGTGACCAGGTGCCCTTAGGTATCAGCCATCACCACAGAGGAGTTGGGGGCGTGAGGCCTTCATAACCTGTCAGATGTTGGTTTCAGTTGGAAACAGTTAAGTACCTCCACCCTACCCCTTCCCCTGAGAGAGAGAGTGCCAGAGGAAGGGGCCAAGAATGGCGGGGCTCAGCAGATGTAAAAGCCTGATGAACACAGAGGCTTTGCTTCCCTTCCACTCTGCAGCAGGAGTCCTGTTAGTTTCCCAGGTTGGCCCTAGCAAAGTCCCACACACTGGTACTTAACTGGGTGGCTTAAAACAACAGAAATGTATTCTCTCACAGTTCTGGAGGCCAGAAGTCTGAAATTAAGGGGCCTGCAAGGCCATGCTCCCCTGAAGGCTCTCGGGAAGGATCCTTCCCTGCTGCTTCCTAGTTTCCGGTGGTTGCTGGCAATCCTTGTAGTTCCATCACTCCAGTGTCTGTCTCCATCTCCATGTGGCCATCTTCCCTGTGTGTCTGTGTCTTCTTCCTGTGTATGTCTGTCTCTGTGTCTCTACTCTCCTTATAAGGACACCAGTCATGTTGGAATAAGGTCCACCCTACTCTAGTATGAGCTCATCTTAATTTACATCTTAGTTACAACTGCAAAGTTCCTATTTACAAATAAAGTCATGTTCACAGGTTAAGTAAGACTTCAGTATATCTTTTGGGGGACACAAGTCAACCCTCAATAAGAGTCAAATATTTTTTGTGGTTTCATTGGGAAGCCTTAGGTAGCTTAAACAGTGACTGTGTGTGTGTGTGTGTGTGTGTGTCTGTCTGTCTGTCTGTATATGTGATTCGTCTTTATATATAGTGTTTTATATACACACACAAATACCTATACATATATGTGTGTGTGTGTGTATATATATATATACGTACAAATACCCATATATATAGGTATTTACCTATATATACCTATAATGTAGTAGGTATTTGTAATATGTATATGAACACCCTTGACTTGTATTTACACTGTCATATATATGACACCATATAAATATATATGACACTCTATGTAAGACATTATATAAATACAAATGCCAGGTATTCGTGATTTGTGTATGTGCTGTATGACACAATGGAAAGAAATAAATATATGACACTATATAAATACAAATCCCAGGAGCAGTTCTGACTCACGCCCTAACTTTCTTAACCTGAAGAAGAAGACCGCAGAGCTGCGCTTACTCCGTGCCCTGTGGTTTGCCCGCTGAAGAGATGGTGGGAAAGGTCTGTGTTTGCCCAGGCTGGACTGTGAAGAGGACTCAAGCACGCAGGGTGGACAGCAGTGCCGCCTGTCTGCCCGGGTGGCCCCAGTGCTACAAGGCAGCCGCCCCGCTGGCCGTGCTGCGTTCTCCCCTGCTCATCTGCGTGCTCCCCAGACCCAGAGATGCGAAGGGGCTCACCCAAGTCCACAGAGGCACAGACAGTTCCAGAAGCGGAAGTCGGCCTCCACGCACCCAAAGGCTTCCCATATTCACGTCACCTCCTCTATCTCCTCCTTGTCCCACTTTTCCAACCGATGGTCAAATTTTCGCTTGAGTTTCTTCTACTGAGCATGCCCAGATAGTATAGGTGGTCACCAAAATGGCACTATTTTCCCTTCAGATGAGCTGAGAAATTATCTTCATAGAGGTCCAGCCACATGCCAAGTTTAAAGTACTTTGTGTTCAGTTGTTTTGGAGTTGTTGGTGAGTGGAGGTAAACCTTTTCCAATTTTATAAAGGATTTTTTTTTTTTTCATTTTCTCAAACTCCAAACTGACTGACCAAAAGCTTAATCTCATTTTCTGGACACAGTGGCCTTCCCTGGATTATCTTTCATTAATAAGTTTGGGACTCAGGGTCTCTCAGGGACTGCCTCTCTCCTAAGCCTTTGAAAGTGACCTTCAGCAGCCCTGGAGGGCTCTCACCCTCACACCCTCTCCTCTGCCCCAGGTGGCCTTCCTGCTCTCCACCCTGTTCTCTCTACTTCAGGGGCTGCCTGACTTCCCTTCTGAAAGCCCTAGGGCTTGGTTTGCTCTGCATCCTGCTTGCTGGGCTCATCCAGCAGGGGAATGGCCAGATTCAGGAAGGCCTTTTAAAATGGGGCTCTGGAGCCATTCTGCTTGGAACCTTTGCTGGGGGATTTTTTGCCAGGGTGTTCGCCGCTCCAGGACTTTCAGCTGGACGGGCAGAGCTACCATGTTGCCTCCTACACCTTCCTCTGCTGCCCCTCACTTCCTCTCACCCTATCCTCCCCATTCAAGAACACCCCTGCCTCCACCCAGACCAACTCCGAGCTCTTTGCACGGTGCCCGCTCCAGAGCCTCTGAAGGACAAGAGGCAGAGCTCAGCGTGACACTGCCTGGGTTCACGTCTGGCTGGTGTTCAACATATACTAACTCATAAAAAGCCTAAATTGTGGGCCTCAAACTTTAGGGAGCATCAGAATCCCTTGGGGAGCTTGTTAAAAATGCAGATTTCCAGCCCCACTGCTGAGACTCTTACTGGGGTTTCTGGCAGAGCCTGAGACTCTGCATTCTTCAGACACCCTAGTGGATTCGGGTGCCGGTTGTCCAAGGGCCACCCTTGGAGAAATGCGGCTTAACCCTTGGTCAGGCTGGCTGACTTGGGACCTCTACTGTGCCAGGCACCGCCCAGGACACTTAGAGGAGGTGACAAGGTGGAAGAGAGAAGTGTGGGGGCACACACTCAGGCACAAATATAAACCAGGTGGGCATGGACTGGGGCCTGGGGAGCTGCGTGGAGGGAGGGTAGCTCCAAACGTGACTGCTCAGGGACCAGCACAGCAGGGCCCTGCGTGGAAACACTATGGGGACAGTGACTCGAGAGACCTTGCATTTCTGCTGCCAGCGCGGGTGCCGGTGTGGGACAGGCCATCACGCCAGATGAAGGAACTGCTCCTAAGTGCCACATTGTGAGAAGGGAGCTCCTGCAGCTTCACCCCAGAGTCAGCCCAGCATGGAGAATAGAAACTCTGGCTTTGGACTCACCCTGTCTGGGTGATTGTCACTTGTGCACTCTCTGGATGAACTTGAGCAGGCTACGTACTGTCTCTGTGCCTTGGTTTCCTCTTCTGGAAAAGGAGGACAATAGTACTCACTTCCGAGGGTTATTGAGAGGATTAAATGAGATAATATGGGGCTTCCCTGGTGGCGCAGTGGTTGAGAGTCCACCTGCCCATGCAGGGGACACGGGTTCGTGCCCCGATCCGGGAGGATCTCACATGCCACGGAGCGGCTGGGCCCGTGAGCCATGGCCGCTGAGCCTGCGCATCCGGAGCCTGTGTTCCGCAACGGGAGAGACCACAACAGTGAGAGGCCCGCGTACCGCAAAAAAAAAAAAAAAGAGATAATATGTACAACGTACTGAGCAGTGCTGGGAGCAGCGAGGGCTCCATGAACACGGACTATGGCCTTTGTTCTTACAGCTGCACCCCTGCCTCACAGCACATCTCCGAAGCTGCCTTTTGCAGGATAAGACCACATGAATGATTTGGATAGCCCACGAATGTCTTTGTGCCCCTGTTCCCAGAAAGACTTCGGTTTTCCCTTTCTCTCCCTC